AATCTAAGTGACTCGTACAACATGGAATTCATATAAAACGGAATAATCAACAGTGTTATAGGGGGGTCGACTGTAGTAATTAATTTCTTTTTATTTATTTATTTATTTAATATTTGTAGACTAAAAATTTACAGGTCACAAGGTGTCAATTAACGTAAAATTTATTCTGGCCCATGTTATAAAAAAGGTTGCTCACCCTTGATATAGCGTACAGATGTGCAATTTGAATTGCAGCTCAAACATAATAACTTCTAGCTATTAAAAAATAAATATCAAAATTTTGAAATTTACTTGTTAAATATTTACTTTTTTCGTTTACTTTATTTATTTTAATTTTACAGTTTGTCAGCAGCTTTTATTCTATCCTCTCCGCACTGATTCAAATAGGACAGAGTAAGAAGAAGGTAGCTTGTTCCTTCCACAATGTTTTTAGAAATATAACAGACGACAGTTATTTGACATAATATCTTTAAACACTTGCAAAATTTTTATAATATATTGTTTCATATTGCTCGGAAATTTATACTTAGAACAGTAAAAGAAAACTCTTAATTAAAGTAGACTATGTGTTCTTATAAAATGTAAAACTACTTATGTAATCTTATAAATAAAATATACCCCAAAGTGTAGCGAATCACTACTCCTGTGGTTTTTAATGATTTCATATAAACATTCTCTTGAAAAAATTTTAAAAATATAGGATTAAATATATTTAAAATATTAAAAATTCAAGACTAATTATAACGACTAACTTGATGTCTACGACAGGAACACAGCGCTAATAGATTAAACATTTATTTAAATTGTCACTCCTAATCCAATGCATCGAGTAATCTCATACTCCCCACAATATTTACGACACTTAAATTTCCTTTAAAGTAATTTACATTAAATTTTATTCTTCTTAAACATACAGTATCTCCTTTGTAAGTTGGCGCTTACCTGGATCAAGTTTACTTCTTCACTTAAATCATATCTTACTGTCTACTGCAAGAAGAATATACACTTGTAAACATGTCTAAAAGAAAATCTTAATTAACAGTTCCATTCGTATTACTTAATTTATAAGCTCGTGCATTCGGAGACACTAAAACAATGTAATATTTTGTTAAATAAAATTATATTTTAATAATGTCAATTATTAAAATATGATTATACGCTTAAATGTGGACCAATTCATTATAAAAGCCATCTCAGAAAGAACTTTCCGTTCCGCAGATCGCCCATGTGTCCCGTTTCCGAATACAAATAAAATCAAATTATTTATTCTTATTATAGATTTATTAGTATAATATTTTTGCTCAAGAATGTAGACTTTTTTAAATTGTCAAATAAAATGATTGGTAAAAACAAAGAATTATTTTATTTAGTACTAGCAGGTGGGCCCGGCGTTGCTCGGGCAAAAGTAACGATAGCAAAGATTAAGATTATTACGTTACAGTCAACCTTATCCGTTTTCACAGAATCAAGAATTGGGTCTCCTTGTTTCCAGACTAATTAGAGAATTTTTAGATAGGTCTAAAAATGTTCGATTTCCCGCAAAAACGAAAAAAAACTGCATCTGCGTATTGCACGTCGCTTTCTCTTAACAATTCCATTGTTACGTAACATTTCCATTGTTGACACTTCCATTGTTACTTAAAACTTTTATTGTTACTTAAAACTTCCATTGTTACTTAACACTTCCATTGTTACTTAGCACTTCCATTGTTACTTAACACTTCCATTGTTGATGGAAGTGTTAAGCCTTAATCCTGTCCCTCTCCCCCGTGGGGAGGAATTTTGAAAAATCCCTTCTTAGTGTGCGTTCTCCTAACGTACCCTAATTGTGTACCAAATTTCAACTTTTAACTCCTAACCGTTTGGGCTCGTATCCATAATGTACTGTATATAGAAGTTTTAATCCTGTCTCTCTCCCCCCCGAGAGGGAATTTTGGAAAATCCCTTCTTAGTGTGCGTTTTCGTGACGTACCCTAACTGTGTACCAAATTTCAACTTTCAACTCCTAACCGTTTGGGCTCTGCACTTATTATTATTATCATTATTATTATTATCAACCCGTCTCGATTATATATATAGATACTACTGTGCATCTGAGTGAAAGAAAGTTTTGTTTTTTGCTTTTTATTCGCAGTTTGGAGCATAAAGTCAGTTTTTTTACTTGCTCATTACAGATTCTGTCAGGCCCGCAATTGGGCGACCGACAGGAGGAGGAGAAAGTCCTACATAACATATGCGGATAGACCACTTCCGGAAAAATTTCTGGTGTTTTTCTAACCGTCCAAATTACATCTTGGATTATCCAAGCAATATGATGCTATCATAATTAATGACTCAGTAATGCACTTTATCATATTTTCGAAGCTATTTCGCTAATTTATTCATATAATTAATCGATTTATTAATGGAAGTTTTCTCCGTTTATTTAGGAGGAAACGTAAGACGAATTTCATTTATTTCGGTCGTAAAATGTGTGACTTAACGATCTTTTGTCACGTAAGATGCTGTAATTGCAAGTGCACTTTATCTATCGTGAAAGAGACTCCATGCTTTATTATCTATAATTATATAAGCAGAAAAAATTATTGTTCTATAATAAAATATTTTTGACAATTTAAAAATCTGAACAGTAGAAATAAAATTTTGTATAATATAGAAGAATTTAATTTTTTTAATAAAATTTTCTGATTTTTTGATATTGATATTTAATGTAATTGGTATATCTTGCATTCTGAAATCCATAAAAAATAATTTATTAAAATTAACATATTTCAAAAAATTGACATTATAGATACTTATGTTAATATACAGTGAAACCTGCGTAAGAAGACCACCTGTGTACGTGAACGCGTTGAGATGGTTACTTCAGTGGTCATATTAGCAGGTTTCACTGTTATGACTACCAAATTGTGAAACTTCGAAATGAGAAGACCTCATTTAACTCGATACTAGTTGAATAAATCTAAATAAAGATATTTTTAACAAGAGTTACTTTAATACAGCTTACTAGAGGCCGAATATATAAAACCAATAAATACTAGTAATGGTCGGGAAAGTCTGAAAAGTTGCTGAAAGTTTGAAAATTTGGGGTTTTCTTTCTTTGTATAATACCTAAATAAGAGCCAATTTCTCGTAAACTTTTTTCTGGAGGCACCCCTCTTTGAAATGAAAAAGTTACTGAATGAGCCCGTTACCAAACTGAACACTGGTAGGTAGTTGTAGGTTCATATATACAATTAAAACAAAGCTTCTAAATGTCAGATGTAATTGTTCGTGTAGCTCAGAGGTCATCAAACTACGGCCTGTGGGCCGGATCTGGATCATCTGTTAAATGCTAATTTAACACTATTCTCTTACCAATAGTGTTAACACTATAGTGTTACCAATAGAGAAAAAATCTCTAGTGTTTACACGAGTAGAGCCTAAACGTGTTCTTATGTAAAGATGTTCATTGCGTCGAAGAATATGTAGCAGTACAAACTCAATCGAATCTTGTATGCTGAATTTTATTTCCATGAGGAAAAATTTTAATGAAAAACCCGACCAATGTACAACTTGTGGCACAGTCAGCGGCAAAAACTTTCAAGTAATTCTTCATTTCTACTAGAAACATTGATACTGTATTGTTCTTTGAAACAGCTTCAGAAGAAAAGGTTTTCGGACAAGGTCTTTGCATGTAGCTGCTATCTTCTGTAAAAGTAATGTTACTTTACGTACTACAGGCAGTTTCGTACCAAGCGACCGTAGAACGTATTCATTATACACACACTATTTTTCTCGCTATCATCACATGAAGTTTTGTTTTGTTAAAACTGGAGTGGCCAGGGTTGTTAAGAGAAAAATTTAAAACATATGAAATTATTAGTTTCATGAGTGCTATGCTGCTACGTGACTATTATGTGACACCAGTCTCAGTTATGATATAGCATGTCTATGGTAACCATCATTTGTTGTATGAGTTCACACTTAAATTCCCGAGGATATTTCTTGATACCCATTTCATCTCTCGTGTAAGTTGAACTTGGATTAATTCGCCCACATGGGCAATTAATCATTTATTTTACAACGTCAAAGAAAACGAGATCTTCTTTGGCATGTGGAATCACCGTCGAAATTATGCTGTCAATTTCAGTTTCGTGCATTTTTCTTTAATCCAAATCAATGTATAATGAGTATGAAAGCTGTGTTTTTTGCCATTGAATACTTCCAACAGCGTGTTTCACTATAAATCGAATATTTTGATATTACATCAATTAATTTCATGAGCTTGTGATTAAACATTCCTACTGTCAAATCATGGCCATCGATAGGCGATTTGTCCAGTTAAAAGTCCCTTATTAAGAAGGTAAGTTTCACTTTACTTTTCACAGTGTAACACATTACGCTCGAGATGCAATGACTAAGGAATTATGGCCGACTCGACGTTTTATAACCTTCACACGTAATTCGTTTCGGTTTGACATTAAATAGATGACAACATAATTGTTGCAAACAGGAAGAGTTTGATGTACTGTACAAGGACAAGACACTACAGTACTAATTTAAGGTGGACGGAATATATTTTAAATTAAATAAATTGCAACCCGGCATTGTGACGATGTCAAAATGAATAATTTCTCGTTCAAAATTATATTTCTGCATTCAGATTTTGAAAATGTCAGAAATGTTTTATTATAAATCTGCAATTTTCGTTATATAATTATAGGTAATAAAGTATAGTCTCTTCCAAGGATACTGTAAGTGCATTTGCACTTACAGTATCCTTACGTGAAGTCACACAATATTTACTACTAAAATACCTCTGTAACGCATAATAATTACGTTTCCTTTAATTGAAGGGAACAGAAAATTTTCATTATTTAATCGATTAATTAATTAAAATAATAAATTAGCGAAATAATTTTGAAAATAAGCTAAAGTGAACAATTGAATCACAACATATCACTATGGCAACCATTGTTCGGCAACAAACACACGATATTATTGTGATCTATGTCCGATTGAATGTTGGAAGCAAACATCCCGTTTCTCATATTACATTTAACGGCCAAACAGTACATTTGTATTAAAAATTATATATTGTGATGATTCAAACTAGTCTTTTCTATTGCTTGTTGTATGATATCTGAAAATTAAGAATATTGCAATAATATTTAACTGAACATAGAAATTCCTTGAAGGTCCTTTAGCAAGTTAAACTATATCATAGAAAATGTCTTCGAATTCGGAAGATTGTCCCGTTTCACTCAAAATTCTGTATCCAGTTATTGCGTGCAGTAAATTATTTGGTTATGGTACTAAGAAGAATATGGGAAAATTTCAGCAGAAGCCATATAAACTGTTCGAAGTGTATTCCCTCTTCATTGAATTGTTTCTTTATGCAAATATCGTCATCATCGTCTTAAACTTTGCAACTGGTGATATTATATGTGGAAAATGGACTGAGCTGTTTTCTGGCAATGAACATTTCTTATATCCTGTATGCCTGGTATCCATTATTGTCCATACGTTGCAGTTCAGTTTCTTGAAGCGTAAAAAATATGTATTCCCTAACAACCAAACCACATACCATAACGAAGAAATGACAGTAAATTTGCTGCAATTTGTATGGTACATTTCATTAAAATTATATTTTATGTTGCAAATAGTGCTATTATTTTTTCTCGATTTCTTCCTATATCAAGCAATGGAAGGATCATCTGATATAGAAATTGTTTTTTGTTATATTGACATACACCTATTATATACATATATTATAGGGCAGTTCTATTCTCATTTCTCACTTTTTGTATCTACGGCATTACTGCTGTTCTTTAGATTTAATATTATTTCACAGCAGTTTATAGAAATTCGGTATAAATTTCAAAATTTAGGATACGTTATTGAAGACATTATACAGAAACATTCAGAATTATTGCACGACATTGATTGTATCAATGAATTATATAACATGACATTCGCTATTATATACTGTTTTTTTCTATATCTTATTTCTCTCCTCATTGTTAGTGCATTATTTTTGAATTTGCCTTCTTTTTACGTCTATTGTTTATTACATTTATCAATGGTAATGGTAATAGTCGTTACCATGATTTCTTTTGGGTTATCTAAATTTTCTTCTTCGGTAAGATATTCTTTAACGTTTTTTTTCCTTATTTATTTAGTGGATTTTTAATGATTTTTACTTTCAGATTTACGGAGATTTTATTGAAATGAATCGATATTCCTCTGCAAGATTTATTCTTGAGTACAAGTTAAAGGTACATAATGCGTTTAATATGTTTTTAGTATATTTTATAAAGAATAGCCCAACACTAACCTAGTGAATAAAACCAATAAAAATGGTTGGACCTCGTCAACGGTTTGACCACATTGAGTTCCGTGTTTTCTCCTTGTGTTCAACATCTAAATATAATACAATTTATAATAAAAGTTCTCTTGTTTGGCAGTTGGTACTTCCTCCATCAATCTCACAATCTTTTATAGAAAATTTCAGTTTAAATTTCAAATCTTTGTTTATATCTTTTTAGATGCTGAATTTCATGAAGAGATTTGCAAAAACGCCGATTGGAGTATCCGTGGGAGGATTCTTTTATGTAAAGAAGAACTTTCCAGTTAGAGTGAGTTACAACATTTCTACTTTAATTATTTAATTTTTAAAGATAAGAAAATTCATATTCTAGAAATACAAATTTGTTTCTTTTGAACAGCTAATGATACAATACTTAAGTATAAAAGTATAAATAGATATTCTCAATAAGTAATTGCTCGTTAACATTATTTTCTTGACAGTGTGAATCGGTATTCATTTTCTATGGACTAAATGATAAGAATTGAAATCTTACAGAAATTTAAACATACAATATCTCATTGTAGAATTGTATTTTTCAAAAACTTTCTGTGAGAATTTTACTTTCATCATAAAGTCATTGTATCTGTAATATGTGAACAAATATCCTGTAAAATCTTTCGAACTTCCATCTTTCTATTTTTACAGTTGATAGGGCAATTATGACCGTAATTTTTTTTAACTTTCTGACACATATTTTCATTTCTTATTTTTATTTACAGATTCTCTGTCGATTTTATTCAATACTTTCTGCGTTCATTGAATTGGGACAGAGTAATAAGAAGGCAACGTGTCATTCGGACGGGTTCCTGCTGTCAATTTTCAACAAAACAGAATAAAGAAGTAGTTTTTAAATAAAATACTTACAATGATTTCTCCGATGGAAATGTAAGAAGATTTCTTTCTACATTTCCATCCTGAATGTGGATCGTGGTTATTTCGGAGTACAGTACTCGGTTTTTATAGCAGATTTTTCCTTATTATACTGTATTTTCAATTTGAAATTAAACATTATTTTACTTATCTAGTGTTATGCTGTAACAAACTTTTTAACAAACTTTCCCTGTCTATGTGTTTGTAACATCTGCCAGTCCAATTTTAATGCGAATTTATGGTAATATGTATGAAACAGTCAGTGTGACACATTGAAACGATTGTTTAAATTGTCATAAGTGTCTAATATTTTTATTTAAATTGGTAGATTCTTCAATTTTCAAATAAAGAAATGCTTGCAAAATATCACTGTTCTAAGATAGGGTGTAAACAGAATCATATTAATTATTAATCTATTATTATTATCTGATTTTCTTCTGTAATTTGTATTTATTTTCATTTGTATAAGAACTACAAATTCTGAAGAATAGAACGAAAACCGTTTGAGTTATTATAAACTTAATAACCTGTGAGTTGTTTGGTATTGTGTTTTGAGTAAAAATAAAATTGTTTAAACTAGTTTAAAAGTAGAGAAATTAAAATCTTCACAAATATAAGACAAACAGAAAGATTATTATTTAATTGATTACATTATCAAAAATTAACGTCTTGATTAGCATAAATAATTAAAGTTTATGTTATTTATACTATTTATACCATCCACATATTAAGCTTAATAAATACTTGTACTTAAAGAAAATTTAAAACAAGATTAATTCGGTAAAATTCACAAGTAAAAACAACTTTACATTCTATTAAATATACAGTAATGATGAGGAAAAAAGAAGTTTAGAATAATTTACAATTACACAACAATAATCTAAACATTTCAACTTTTTTAATGTTAAATATACGAACAATTAAAGCCTGAATATTCCGGAGACGAGGTGATCGTTTCTGTCTATTCGGCGTGATTAAGTGATAAGAAAGACTAACTGCAGCTAGAAAATTATTCATAAGAATTTAATTAGTAATAAATATTGATGATAACTAATATTTTTCGAAAGTCATAAACAGTGGCGGCCTTAGGGGGTGGCGAACAGGGCAATCGCCCGGGGCCTCGCTCTTGGAGGGGCCTCGCGCAACAACCAAGTAGAAAAAAGTTGATATTTAAAACTTTTTATTTTATCCTTGGCTATTAGTTATAACAATAAAATAAATTTAATTTATAGTACAGTATATATTAATATTAATAAGTGCCTACTATTTCAATTTACATACTTTGCACAAAGGGAAAGGGCCTCGCAAAGATTTGCCGCCCAGAGCCTCGCAATGGATAAGGCCGCCGCTGGTCATAAACAAATAATAAATATTGTCTGTAATCCGTCGAATTTTTCTGTATAGAATAATACACTCTGTAAATGCATGGATACGTGAAACGATAATTATAAATTTGTACTGTACATAATTATCTGAGAGTCAGTGTTATCATTTGTAAAAATTACTGTGGAAGTTTTTCATAATACTTCCAAGATGATAGATGCATAAGGAAATAACACAGATCGGCATCACCGATAAATTTAATTATTAAACAAAAATTCTGATGAGAGAGAGATAACACTATCGTTTGTTTTTCTTTCGTATTGTTGAAAATGTTAGTGTATGTCTTCTTGTAAATTCGTACTACTTCAGCACTATTTGTTAATTACAGAGAAAGGAATGTTACAACGTGCAGGGCGTTCAGGGTGTGTTTGAAAACGAAAACATCAATGATTTTCACTGATTTTTTTGGCTTCTTATACGACATATATATCTATTTCCTTTACGAAATATGAGCTTTCCTGCCATAAATTATCATAAGAATCAATTTCTGAATAACAAACTATTACTACAACTAAATGATTAATAGAGTACTTATACAATTTAAGAATATTTCTAATCAAACAAAGAAAGTCAAGTTTTGATATTCTGTTGATAAATTATCATTTCTTGAATTAAGTATATATATTATATATAAATTTTTTAAAGCACAGTATAGTTTAAATGATCAGTCACAAAATTATCCATCTTCTGTGTACTCTTAATACATTTCAACAGAGGAATTACAACCATTTCAAGAATTTACACTGCTGTTAATAGATTTTCAAACACGAGTATTATGACGCTATTATAATTTCAGTATCTTAAATTAAATCTCTTCCATTTGACATGTTATATTTTGAAAAAATATCACACATTTCGTTGGTGTATAAAAGAAACATTGAAACACTTTTCACCATTTTATAAATTGATACAAACAATATAGTAAATTACTCCACAAGTCTTTCGTTCGTTATACCTTGGAATGACTCGTATGAGAAACAAATTATCTTTTTCCTGCTCTGTCCAATTTGAACCAATGCAGAAAGCACAAAATAGAAGCTGCTGACAAGCTGAAAACAAAGTCAAATAGAGAATTTGATATTAATATAGGCTACTATATCAAACAATAATACAATATAAATAGTATTATATTTGTATGGAATAGTACAAATAGTAAAAAAATATGATTCTTTATAAATTCATGTTATCATTAGAGTATATAAAAACTTCATTAACGAGTTGCTTAAATTTCCGGGCAAATATTTAGTGGTGTCATCTGTTATCCTATTTTATTTTTAACTATTATAAAATGAAAAAAACAGCTTAATTTTCACGATATGAATGTGTTTTTTAAAAAATTGTAAATGCTAATAACGAGTAAAATGGTCATTAATTACGACCGACTTTACTCGAGATACGCACGACCTACTTTATCTGCCAATTCCTCGATCTTTAATCACCAAAATTTCATAGCCTCTCTTTTCCTAATGCACAAACCTCCCTGCAAAATTGTAGAAATTATTGACAAAAAGTGCAGAAATTGTTAAGCTTCGAAGAGGGTTAACAAAATTGTGCCACAAACACCAACACCAACACATTTACATTCATATATACTGTACATGGGGAAAAGAGCTCAAATTTCTTCGCATTTCTCAACGTTTTAAATTGTCCTATGTTCTAAAATGTAAAAATCTTCAAGGGGCATTTTTTGCTCGATTGCCATACTTTTCTTCTGTTATATATAACAGCCGAAAAAGTAAATTTCGCCTTCTGTTAATCTATATTATAAGATATAAAGATCATCATACGATCTCACCTTGATAGGAGATTTCTTTTTGATGTAAAAGAATCCTCCAATGGATATTCCTATGGGTGTTTTGCCAAACCTTTTCTTAAAATTAAGCATCTATATGAAAAATTAAAAGTTAATTAATATGTTAATTATATTACTCTAAACAATATTTACTATGAAATTTTTGAAAAAATACAAAGTATATTTTAACCTTTAATTTGTATTCGAGAGAAAATTCTTCAGATGAAAATCGATTCATTTTGTTAAAGTTTTCATACAGCTATAAATAACAAAATCATTAACTAAAAATCGTATATTATAAAAACAAATATAAGAGGTTGATAGCTTACTGTTGATGTAAACTTGGAAAATCCAAAAGAAAATCCAACGAGAACAATTATGTTTATTAGAGAAATTGTTAAAAAAGTCAAGACGTAGATAAGAAGGAAATCTAAAAACATAGCCCCAGAAATTAGGAAAGACGTGAAATACATAAAAAAGCCATAAACAACAGCGAAAAACATGTCGAGTGACTGGTTATAACGTTGAATGCAATACCATAATTCCCAATGTTTCTGTATAATTGATTCGATGAGAAAAGGCAAACGTTTTGTTTTGGAATGAATTTCAATAGATTCTTCTGAAGTTTTCCTTAATCTATAATATAACATGAACAAAGTAGAAATGATAAGAGAAAAGATGCAGTAGAATTGCCCAATTAATAACAAAAGCAAGAGTTGGAAATCAACGTAACAAAAGATTACTTCGTAATCAGATGTTTCTTCTAGAACTGTGTACAAGAAAAACTCCAGTAAAACTGCAATTAATAATTGTATTATAAAATAAGTTATCAGGAAACAATTACATATAAATTCGACAGAATTTCTTATGTTCTCTTCGCCATTATAAGTAGAAATGTTATTGGGTATGACATACTCGGTACGTTTTAACACACTAAATTGCAATGTGAAAACAATGATGTAAGCAAGAACTACAGAATATACGAAATATTTATTGTCTGTAAACATCTTAATCCATCTTCNAATTTTCTTTGTCTGGAAACATCTGAATCCACGTTCCACACATGACGTCATGTCTAATTAGCATCAGAACGAAGAGAATAACGTTACAGTAGAGAAATAATTCGATCAGATACGAATAGAATTCCATTACTTTGCTGTATTTTATCTGAAGGTTTTCCAGATTCCTCTTTGTCAGATCCAAATATTTTATTACAGTTTATAACGGGCTGAAGAATTCCCAGAGGAAATGGAGCAATCTTCGTCTTGTACTGACGACAACATTTTGATTTTATTGTTGTAAACTTTATTCAACACTAGTCTTTTATAGACGATTTCTTTTCGTAAACTACTTTGAAACGGAAACGTTCTCTTAATAAATATTTGAATTACATCTACTCTCTGTTAGGAAGTACTTTTGTATATTTTATCATGGTTGAAAAACATTTAAACGATACTATATTGATTCATGGAACTGTCTTTTCACTATAATGGGAACATTACAATTTCTGGAATGTCTATAAATATCCAAGCCATACGGGCATAAGAATTGCATTTACAAACGAGCCGACCTTTTCTGCTACTAATTGCTAATGATCCAATTATTCCATTGGCATGCGTGCATATAATCTGCAATAAAAACGTGACGTAGTCGAAGACTATTCTCAACATTCACTCGCACGTCTATTGGTAAGAAGAGTGGTAAAAACCACGAATTGTGAGTCTTTTTTATTAAACTTTTTAACTTCAACATTCAGCGAGACTAGACTTAGTATGAATAGCCTCTTAGATGCTTCGACACTAATCATATCTCTTTCTGCGAACTGTTTTTATTTTTACTGATTTATTACTGATTATTTTTCACTGATTATATTTGCTTTTATTATTTTTATGCATTGTCATGGAAATTTATACGAGATACATTACATGA